GCCGGCTACGCGCTCGCGCTGCCTGCGCGCGCGCTCGCGTGGCGGGCCGCGGCCGCCGCGCGGCGCCGCGCGCGCCGCAAGCTGCCGCGGGGCGCGGCGCCGCTCGTGACCTTCTTCGTGGGCCAGGCCGTCGCGGCCGTGGGCGACGTCGCCGCGCACCCGCTCGCGACGGTCCGCGCGCGCCTGCTCCTCGCGACGGCGTCGGCCGCGGCCGCGCGGCGGGCGCGGCCGCCGTCGGCGTCGGCCGTCGCGCGCGAGCTCTACGCGTCGCGCGGCGCCGCGGGCTTCGCCGACGGCGCGGCGGCGGCCTTGCTGCTCGCGCTGTCGTCGGGCGTCACCGTCGTCGCCTTCGCGGAGATCTGGCGCGCGCTCATCGCGGGCCGCGGCGACGGCGCCGACGCCCTCGAGGCCGACTCGGACTACGGCGACGACGTCGAGCGCCCGGACGAGGACGTCGCCGAGCTCAAGCGGCCGCCGACGAGCCGCGGTAAGCGGATTTAGGTTTCTTCAAGTTGCGACGTTTCCCTCGCGCGCAGCCCGCATTCTTCGGCGGAGTGTTTCTCTTGCTCTCCGTCGTCGTCGACGTCGAGAGGCTGCCCGACGCCGACGCGCCGACTTCGAGAGGCTGCCGACGCCCGCGACGCACAGCCGTCGACCATGGCAGACGTCTACTACGTGGGAATCGGGTCCATGATGAACCCGGACGCCATACGGAAGCGCGGCATCAAGCCGCTCGAGAGCTGCCCGTGCAAATGCGTCGACTTTGAGCGACGATTCTGGGGCGCCTACGGCATGGCAGAGGTCCACGAGAAGCCCGGCGCCGAGTTCCACGCCGTGCTGCACAGGATGACGGCTCCCGACATGAAAATTCTCGACGCGTCGGAGCGCGGCTACTGCCGCGTCGACGTCGTCTGCTACACGTACGACGGCGCGCGCGTCGTCGGATCCGGCTACACCTTCGACAAGAGCCGCATGATCAAGAACGGCCACACGCCGCCGTCGGAGCGGTACCTGAACCTGCTCATCGGCGGCATGGAGCACTTCGAGTGCGAACCGGCGGCCGTCGCGGCGATGAGGCGGACGCCCCACCAGGGCCCCGGGACGACGTAAGCTCCGGTTCGCGACACTTACACGCCGCCTCCTTCACTCGTCGTCGTCGTCGTCCATCTCGACGGCGTCGCGCTGGGACGCGGCGGCGCGCTTCATCTTGGCCTGGTAGGACTTGAGCGCGACCTCCTTCTCCTTGTCCTTCTTCAAGTCCGCCTGCGTGAGCAGCTGGGCGCAGCCGAAGACGGCGCACTTCTTCGGTATGGTCTTGTGGAAGTACGACATGGCCGCCTTCTTCGAGAACGTGTGGCCGCACGTCTTCGAGATCATGGGGTCGACGAAGAGGCCCGTCGTGATGGGGCACTTGAAGTCGGCCTCCTGGTCCGCCTGCGTCTCGTCGACCTGGATCTCCTCGTCGGAGTCGTCGTCGCCCCCGCCGAGCACGGGCGCGCAGACCTTGCGCATCTTCTTGAACTGGCCGTCGAGCTCGACGTCCGGCGCGCCGTAGGCGGCGATCTGGGCCTGGAGCGCCTTGCTCACGACGTCGAGGAAGTCGTCGTCGCAGTCGTCGAAGTCGCCGTTCGCCGCCTCGTCCTGGAGCTTCTTCATCGCGGCGAGGAACGCGTCGATCTCGTGCTTCGTCGACAGCGACGTCCGCATCGTGTCCATGAGCGACTCCATGGCCGTCTTCTTCGCCGCGGCGCTCACGTCGAGGCCGTTGATGTCCTTGGCGAACTGCACGATCGTCGCCCGCAGCGTGTTCCCGTCCTCGTAGAAGCTGTCGCTCTTCGCCGCGATCTTCGTCATGGCCGAGGAGACGGCCACGCGCTGGTACTTGTCGGCGTGCGCCGCCATGGTCGATTCAGTGCGCACGACGTCAGCGGGTTTAGAGCGCGGGGTGGGCCGCGGGGTCCGGCCGCGCAGCGACGACGAGTCTCGAGGTTCGAACGCGGGACCGCTCGCGCGCTCGACAGGTCGATGGCCTGGAGTCGCTTACTGCTAGCCCGGGCCTAGCCGAGACCCACGGGGGAACCGGACTCTCGCTGGGAGGAGCGCCTAGGCGCGTCGCGTCCGGGGTGAGGAACCCCAAAGAGCGCGCTGGTCCAGCGCTCTCGCTGCCTCGTGGCCGTCTGACGCCGGGGAAGCCTCCGGACCTGCCGCGTCCTCTCGCTCGGTCGACCGAACGGGGTTTCGCGGCCAGGGCAGCAGGCGGGGCTGCTGGCCCCAGTCCGGCGGGGAGCCCAACGCCCGGAGCCTCTCGGGACGTCGCGCACTCTGCCCAGACCCGAAGGCCAACCTCAGGGCAGGCGACGTGAGCTTGCGCGTCGTGGAGTGACGACGCGCGTAGATTTGCGGAAACTCTTTTTCGAGAAACCGCGCGGAAAAGACCTCTCACGAGGGAAAACGCAGAGGAGAGCCTCCTCGGGGCGTGTACCGTTGAGCCAGGCGAGGCATCGCTTGCGCGTCCGCTGACCGCGCGCATGCGCACTGCATCGCCATGCAGTGCGCGCATGCGCAGCACTCGACCAGAGGCCAAGGTGCGCGAACCGGCGCACCGGCGAGCACGATGGCTCGAGCCGGCGCGGCCTGCGCCTGGATCGCAGCGCGCGCGGGACCTCTCTCGGTGCGAGCATTCGTTTCCAGGTCATGTGGGTGCGAGCATTCGTTTCTTTGCCAAAAAATGAAGTGGCGCTCGCGGGGGCGCCCCGTGTCCCCGAGCGGGGGGCATCTCGGTCCCGCGGACGCTGGAGAAGGTGTCGAAGCGGTGCCGCGCGGCGGTCGCGGCGCCAGCGCTCGACGGCGTGCTCTTCATGGCGTCGCCGTCCTGCAAGTCGTCGCGCGCCGCCCCCTGGTCGAACGGGGTCGCCCCAATCGCGTCGCGCGTCGCGCACGTCGTAGCGATGCTGCTGCAATCGTCTCCGGCCGTCGGCGTGCGCCACGCGTCGCGCGCGCACACTCGATACGCGCAGAACCATAAGCTTTTGCCTCAAGAGCGCCGCTGCGGTCGATGGTGCCGCTCAAACCACGCGCGATGGCGACGGCATTGTGCGCCGCTAGCGCCGCTTTGCAAAGCTTAGGTCCTTGAACGCTAAGCAAAAATACCACAACAAACCAAATAACACAAAAAACGCCACCACCATGCGCCGCGTTCTCCTCGCGTCGCTGCTGGTCTGCGCGCGCATCGGCGCCGACGACTGCGAGCAGTCCGGCACGCTCACCTTCGCCTACTTCGCCGTGGGCCAGCGCACGCTCACGAAGGCTCGGCGGAGCGCCGTCTCCGCGAAGCGGGCGCACGGTGGCCGCGCGCAGACGCTGCTGCTGACGGACCGGCGCGGCGTCGCCGCGGCGACGGCCGAGGCGCGCGCGTGCGCGGCGTCGGCGGCCGCCGGTCCGGCCTTCGACGACGTCGTCGAGCTCGCGGAGGCGGAGAACGCGACGGCCTTCGCGGCCATGCCCGAGTTCGTCGCGTTCCGCACGTTCGTGACCGCGAACAAGCTCCAGTCGCGCCACGCGGCGTGGACGGACCGGGACAACTTCAACAACCGCGCGGTCAGCGACCTGCGGCTGGCGAAGATCCGCTCCCTCGAGGCGGCCCTCAAGCGGTCGCGCGCGTCCGCCGTCGTCTTCCTCGACGCGGACACCGTCGTCTGCCGGTCGTTGCTGAAATACGCGTGCGCGGCGGAGCGCGCGGCCGCGGACGTCGCGTTCGTGCCCGTCTGTGTGGAATTCAAATCTTCAACCCGACTTCAATGTGAGCGTATGCGACAGTTTCGACGCAATCTCTTCGGCTGTGCTTCGAGAAATCGACGAGAGCAATCGATTCGTCCAAAAATCAGCCGAATCGACTTCGATTTGATCGAGCTAGAGAATTCTGAAGTTTGGTCAGGACCACCCAAACCAGTGGTTGAATTCCACACAGGTGCCCGTGCCCGCGGAGAAGCTCCACGCGTCGCCGCAGCTCCGGCGGACCTACGGCGTGGCGCCGGAGACGCCCGAGGCGAACACGGGCGCGCTCTTCCTGCGGCGGACGCCGAAGGCGCTGAGCCTGCTGCGGTACTGGGGGCTCCGCTACGGCGAGCTCCGCGCCGCGGACCCGCCGCAGCTCATGGACCAGGTCGCCTTCCGCGCCGCGCTGCACGCGTCGCGGGCCAAGTGGCTCCCCGTCGAGGAGCGGGCCAACTGCCGGGGGCGGGACCACCTGACGCGCGCGCACGCGCCGTTGGCGTGCGACGGCGTCGACAGCCGCGCGCCGCAGCTGAGGGAGCAAATCATGAAGCACACGGGCAGCTTCGTGAGCCGGTCCGACGACCCGGAGACGTCCCTGAAAGCCCTGCGGGCCATGGAGCACGTCGTGGAAGCGCTCGACGGCGGCAGGGCCCGCGACCGCGTGGGAATCGACCGGCGAGATCGGGGCCGAACTTCAGAAGTCTCTCGCTCGGTCACATCGAAGTCGATTCGGCTGATGTTTGGACGAATCGATTGACGCACGGCCCGGTCCAAGCCGTTCGATGACGCGCACATTGAAGTCGGGTTGAAGATTTGATGTCCACGCAGGCCTGCGACGTGCTCCACACGCACGAGGCCACGGACTACCGCGACGACGGCGAGGTCGCGGCCGTCGGTCCGTGCTACTGGGTCGACGTGCCCTTCGCCTACGCGACGCCCGCGGCGCGCGACGCCGCCCGGGCCGCGCTCGTCCTCCCGCCGATCTGCCGCGGGCTGGCGGATCTGGGGAGGAGCGCGGGCGTCGACTACGGCGCGACGCCGCGCGGGCGCCTCGTGGTCCACGTGCCCGCGGACCCCGTCGCGCGCGTCGCGCGCGAGTTCGACGCCTGCTGCCGCGGCGGGGCCGCGGAACATGGCTGGTGCGCGCGCGCGCCCTGCGGCGGCGGCGGCGGCCTCGGCGCCTACGCGGAGCGGCGCGAGAACGCGGCCCTCGCGGCCGTCGCGCCCGGCGAGGCCTGCGCGGCCGCGCGGCGGCCACCGCCGAGCAAGGCGGATTTGAGAGTTGCGGCGAAGCTCGCGAAAGAGTTCGCCGTCTTCGCCGTCGTCGACGCGCTCCCCGCGCCCGCGGGCCACGACGCCGCGGACCTCGCGCGCGCGCACGACGCGACGGCGCTCGACCGCGCGCTCGCTAAGTCCTAGGCGCGAGAGCGTAGCCGCCGTCGATGGCCACGCCGAAGAGCAGGGACGCGTCGGCGACGGACGCGCGCGGCGCGAGGGCGAAGTCGCTGTCGTCGCGGTCCTCGGACACCTCCCGCGCCTCGGAGAAGACGGAGAGCCGCTTCTTCGTCCGCGCCTTCGTCGGCGCGGCGACGGGCCCGTCGGCGGCGGGCGCCGCGGCGACGACGGCGCGCGGCGCGTCGTAGACCGCCGAGAGCCGCTTCTTGACCTTCCGCGGCGGCGCGGCCCGGGCGACCTTGGGCGCGGCCGGCGCGGGCGCGTCGATG